ATGTTGTCCGGTAGTTTTTGAGTTTCCTATTGTGATCCACAGGTCTATATCTTTGCTGATCTTACACTCTTGTTTAGAATATGTTTATGTTTTTATATCATCTCTTGTCCCTTAATCAAATTATTTGGTTTCTTTTCATCATTTTGCTACTCTGGTCAATCTGTAATAGTGAAAAAAATAACTTTCAAGACAGCACGTTTCCCTAGAATAGCATTGAGTTTAGCTTGAATTCTTGTGCAGCATGCAGGAAGGGTAAGTAACATAAAGGAAGAGTAATAAGCTCGAGTTCATGAATTCGGCAGATCATAAATGAGAGTCTGTGAACCCCATGAAATTGGGTGAAAGTTCTTTTACATGCCTGTATTTTTTTTCAGGGAGACACAATATATTTTTAGTGTATATTTGACCTATTTACTTGGATGCTATTTTGCTCATTGTGCATTAGAATATTTTAAGGCAGATACTCTTTTCCTGGGTCTTCCAACTGCTGTCACATTTCTTTCTTAATCAAAACTTAACATTTTTATTCACCCTCATGTAAAGCAGCTCCTCAGAAGATTTATTGTCCCTGCTTTTAAAGATAAAGAAGTAAAATGGTGGCCTCGATGAGAGGGTGAACCTCTCTTTGTCTAGGTTTATTTGTGTCTAACATTTGGCTTCTTGGCTGTATATTCAATTTTTATTCCTCATGAGATTATTTGCATTTGCCTTGATAAGCGATGCCTATTAAAATCAGTAAGATACATCATTAAAAAGGTGAAATACATATGTTAGTAGCTCTTCTGTTACCTAATGATTTTTAAAGAGGAAATAAGACCAATAAAACTGATAATGAATATTCTCCAGTGATGTCTTTATTGCAGTTTATGAAATTATAGTTCTGACACCATGTTCCACAAGAAAAATAGATTTCAACATAATCAACATAAAATATCTATTTTTGTGGCATGCTCATGGAAGCACAAAATTTTTGTAGAGATTCATAGATCTTTCAAATCCTATGAAATGAGAGTAACTACTGAATTTAAACAAGCTTATATTTATTAATAAAGGTTTGTGAACTTTTCAAAGTTCACAGTTTCATTAACTTCTGAGATTGGTATGTCTTTCTACAGTTAATCTGTTTCCATAATGTCTCTAAGAGGCAAACAGAATTTTTTTTCTCTGCTAATTATTAAAAAATAAACATGATAAATTTTGAGTATTATCTCCATAAAATATTAGAAATTTGTGTCCAGGTTGCTTTAGACAGATGTCAGCTTCAGATAAAATTATCTGAGAATTGGCAGGTGATGTCATATGATGAGACATTCCCAACAGATTTGAGAATGAAACAGCACAATCAACTGGCAGCTTTGAAGACAATAATCTCTATAAAGACCAATTAGTGAGCTATCTGCCAAATTATACATATTGATGAAGAATGAAATCCTTGATGATATTTTTCAGATTATGTATCTTAAAAGAGGCCCCAAACTATGTCATTTTTTACATGATGATTTAACTTCTGTATGCGGGGAAATGTTCAAAGTCTATCCAAAAGGTTGTGATACACTAGAGGCTGAGGCAAATTTGATATTTACAACATGGATTGCTTTATCAACGTGGAAGGTAGATCAACCTTTCATTTGGAATTATGTAGTAGAATATAAGCCATTATTACTCAGCTCACATTTTAAGTTTGTGCCAAGTACAATGCATCTTAATTTTTTTCTAGGTTTTGGAGATGCACAGTCATGAAAACAAAATCTAAAGCTCTAGGTTCTGGAGTAACTTTCACTTGAATTAAAGACTACCAAGGCCAGTCTATACAGAAGTGAAATGTGGAAAAATTTTATCTGTGAGGTAAACAGAAGTTTATCAATGACTCTCATATAAATTTAGAAGCTCTGTAAATCAAAATTACCTCAGAATCATTCATTCTACTTTAAGGACGAAGAAAGTTTTACCCTCTTTCCTCTCTATATCCTTCTCTGCCCTATAGATGATTATATGCAAGGTATGTCATGTTGAGACCTCCAAGACTACACACTCTGCTTCATCCCCTCACATACTTAGCAATATTCCACCCCTTACAGTGAATTATTTCTTGAGCTTGCTGGCCCGCACTGCAGATTTGGTCTTGCCAGTCACTGTAATTTTTTTGTAGCTAATTATATATATAGGTGATAGATGATTGATATAAATAGATAGATATAGATATAGATATAGATAGATATAGATGATATAGATGATAGATATAGATATAGATATAGATAGATATAGATATAGATATAGATAGATGTAGATATAGATATAGATATAGATATAGATATAGATATAGATATAGATATAGATATACATAGATTAGATATAGATATATACAGTTCTGTTTCTCTGGAGACCCATGACTAATACAACCTCTCTTAACTGCTCCGGTGCAAAATAAATGTTCTTACATTTTTCATGATCTAGCAACATTTGAACTAGTCAGGAATCTTGAATTAGACAATTTAAACTTTACCATTACCTGTACTTGGACAATTAAATCTAGGAAAATTTATTCCATGCTATTATGTTGGATTTTCATTGTCCAATAGCATCTTATGTTATTACAGTGGATTAAACCATTGCTAGGCATTGGTCACATTTCAAGAATTTTTATATGACTCTGTGCATAGAAAAATTCTAAGGGAAGCTGTTGGTTAATATATGGTTGTTTAAAAAGAAGAAATGCAATATGATTTCATTTAGATGTTGGAACATTACGAGGAATGCCAACAAAGGAATAAAATCATGGCATTCTACACTTAAGTTATTGAAAGGCTTGTTATCTGTTTTGGAGATTTTCACCATACTCATTTGTTGTCATACACATTTTTACCTGCCAAGAAAAATCAGTCACCTTCTGAGAGAAATGGTTACACTTTATAAATGGTTAATAATACTCAGTCTAACTTCCAACAAATAATTTGCTGGGAAAAAATGGAGGCCTCAACTTAAGAAATATTTGTTGAATTAACAATGTAAGTTATATCCTTGACCTAATAAGGGTATTCTTTAAGACATGTTGTTCCTCCCCTGTTCACTCCCTAACCCACAGTCACAATCATAAATGTAAAAAAATATCATAGTCTGGTAAAGACACATCAAAACTCTTAACGTCTCTATAAATCCTGTAAATAAAATATTAGAACTCTTAAATAATAGGTTACAAAGAAAATTTTAAAAATAAATATGTGTTAGTATGATGAAATAAAAATAATAACAATGGAAATTAACCAAAAGAAAACATAGGCAAACATGTAATCTCATGTTATAGAAATAATTAATCATAGAAAATTAAGAGAAAAAAATGAGAAAATTTTAGTATTTGTACATTACAAGTTACATATAACTTAGAAATATAAATAATATTAGGGATCCCTGGGTGGCGCAGCGGTTTGGCGCCTGCCTTTGGCCCAGGGCGCGATCCTGGAGACCCGGGATCAAATCCCACATCGGGCTCCCAGTGCATGGAGCCTGCTTCTCCCTCTGCCTGTGTCTCTGCCTCTCTCTCTCTCTCTCTCTCTCTCTCTCTCTCTCTGTGACTATCATAAATAAATAAAAATTTAAAAAAAATTAAAAATTATATAAATAATATTAATAGTCAAATTGTAACTAGAAAACGGTTTGCTACCTATGTGACCTAGAAAATTAAATTCTTACCTCAATAAATAAAAACAGGCAATGAGCAAATTATCACTTTGAACAACTCCACCCATGAAAATAATCTCAACAACTACAAATGGTTAATAAATGCATTAAAATATTCAGCATGAGTTATAATTAAAGAAATGCAAATGGGTAGTCTAATGTGCTGTTTGTGGGATACAAATGTATGGAAACTTTCTAGAGGGCAACTTGGCAACATTTATCCAAATCATTAAAACACCCATACTCTTTGACCCAATTATTCCATTTTAGGAATATATCCTAAGGAAATAATCAGAGAAGTGAGCAATGAATTATGCATAAGAATGTTTATTGCAGCATTATTTATGGTAGCAAAATCCTGAGACCAGCCACACCGTCTAATATGAGAGGAATAATTTAGTAAATTACTACAAAATAAGAGAACCCAGTAATACAACACAATATTATGCATTCCTCATAAGTGTTTACATATTAAAAATGGTATAAAATTCATGAAAATGAAAACATGTAATAGAAACTATCAAATGCATATCCTAATTTTCTTAAATTATATATCTATACAGAGACATGTATGCACACATACTCCTGGAAAAAATACACTAAAATTTAATATTTTAATTATCATGTGCTGTGATTATGGATGATGCCTTTCTCTGCTCATGTCTGCATTTTATACAGATTGTGCCTTAAACTTATATTAATTTTATTAGGAAAAACAATCCAAGTTAAAGAAATGTCTATTCATTTTCACTTTCTGAATATGTTAAGCTAAAATAATTATCATCCTGAGACTAGAGAAATACAAATATGATATTAATATAGAACAAAGTGGAATGAAATATTTTTTATTGTTATCGTATTGAAGAAAGTACAAATCACAAACTGATTACTCATTTGTGGATAATTACAGAAGACAATGCTTTTAGAAATGTAGATGAAATTGCCAATACAATTGTAATAGGATCAGCAAACTTAGAGCTCAGAAATTTATCTAATCATGTAACAAGATAATCCTGATTTTAATAGCACATCTAAAGTGATATTTATATCCTACATTGAGTTATATATTTAAAAATTACAACTGTTCAAGCATCCATAAAACATTTAGCAATATCTATTGTATATATATGTAAATATTATATATCAAATATTGGAAAAAGATGCACCAAAACCATGTATTATTTTTAAGTGAATTTAAAACTCACACATAAGAATTTAAACACATTCTGAAATAATTATTGTTCCAAAAATTAAATCGAGTTTTTTGTAAAATAATTAAATGTATAAATACAAGTTTTAAAAGTTCAGTATGACAAAGAGAACAGTCTTATTCATATCAGTGTCATTCAGCAAGCACATCTTTGGGGAAAAAAAGACATATGGGTCAATTAATTATATTTTTATTGTATGTTTTTAAATCTTTTTTTTTTCAGAGTAAAGGATTTCAATGTATACATATGCAGTGTTCAGTATGTATTAGACTTTTTATCCGATTAACGAGTCTGGAAGACTAAAGTACAGTAAGGTAATATATAGAGACTTGAAAGTTGTAAAGACATCTGGAATAAGACTCTTGGGCAGAGACAAGTGCAAAAGGCTCTAAGTTGAGAATGGGTTAGTGTGCTTTAGGAAATACAAAAAAGTACATATGGGTAGAGCCTCATAGGCAAGGGAAACAGTGGATAGTTCAGTAAACGATCAAGCATCTAGATAATTTGGGATGTTATATCTATTTAAGAACTTCGGCATTCCTCTAAGATGGAAAGCCATAGAAGTTATTTAGGTATTAGATATAATTAAATTTCGGAAGAATATCTCTGTTGGGTGGACTACATAGATTACATAATGATGATTTATGTTTAGGCTATTATAATCTGGGCAAAATATGGTTGCTTGGACCAAGGTGTTAGTATTAGAAGAGCTGAAAATGGTCGGAATGGGTCTATTTCAAAGGTAAACTGAATAGGGACGCCTGGGTAGCTCAGTGGTGGAGTGTCTGCCTTCGGTTTAGGGCGGGTTCTCAGGTCGCAGGATGGAGTCCCACACCCACCTCCCTGTGAGGAGTCTGCTTCCCCCTCTGCCTATGTCTCTATCTGTGTCTCTCATGAATAAATAAATAAAATCTTTAAAAAAAGAAAAAGGTAAACTCAATAGGTTTAATTGGTGGGTTCAAAGTAAAGTGTATGATTTACCATGATGAACACTGAGCAATGTATAGAATTGTTGAATCATTATTATACACCTGAAAGTAATCTAACACTGTATGTTAATGATACTAGAAATTAAAAAAAATAGTAAAGTGTATGAGGATAAAATGACAAAGGACATCTGGATTTGCCTGGAGTCACTATATATCAAAATGGAAAAGACGGTGGGTGAAATAGATTTAATATGAAACAAATACTTTGTTATCACTACTCTTGAGAGATGGATTGTAAGCCTCCTTCCCTTGAATTTGGAAAGTCTCTTGATGGACTTGATTGAATGTTAAAGTGTAATGGAAGTGGTGCTTGGGAATTCTTAGCTGAGATCATAAGAGATCTTGCAGTTTCCACCTAAGTCTCTTAGGACACTTACCTGGAAGTTGCCAGTCATCTTGTAAGATGTCTCACTATACAGAAACCTCTTTAATATAAGGAAGCCATATAGAGAGAAGATATGGAAAGAGCCCAAGGATGAAAACTATTCCATCTCAGGTGCCACAAATATACATAAGAAAAAGCCTTCAAATGTCTCCTCCTCAGGCACCATCTTTCTCAAACCACATGCAAGTTTTTGAGTGAAAATATCCATCCGAACCTAGTCAATCCTCAAAGCCATCGGAAAACAAGTAAATAAATAAATGTAATTTTAAGCCTCTAAGTGTTGGCATGACTTATTAGACAGCAATAGAGAACCAGAGCAGTGGAAGGTACAGGGTTAGGGGAAAATTAAAAGTTTTATTTTTCACATGTTAAATACCAGATAGCCATTAACCATCCAGGTGAAAATGTTGAGTAGACCGATAACTCCTGGAATTCACAGATATTTAGATTTGCTCACTGGTCCACGACGGCATTTATTATGACAGTGAATACTCCTTGTTCCTTATTTGAGAGCTTCTACTTTTTCATTGTTAAGAATAATGTCTGCTATGAATTCTGATGGATAGCTGTATTTTTGAGGTTTCTTCTTCTCCATATTGACTAAGGGTTTTTCTTTTACTCTGTGAATGGATATTAATATTTATCCACACTTTTTCTGTATCTAGCAATAGGATCATACAGTTTTATTTACATGCTGAATTTTTTGTTATCAATGAAGCATCACCATCATGCCATTCTAAGATCTCTCCTGCCTCACAAAGGAGAAACTAGATTTTAAATCCCAGAATTCTCTTCACCTAGCTTTCTCTGTGTTAAAAGCTGATGATGGAAGGATTTCTTTTTTTCTTTTTTCTTTTTTTTTTTTTCACCGATGGAAGGATTTCATAGGAGATCTGGAAGGCACAAGAGGAGAGACCATTATTCTGTTAGGTATTTGTGGACAGACACATGTTCATATGATGTTTGAAACAACTTTCAGGGCAATTCTTGAGTGTTACTTAATGTATCTTAGGTTAAACGGGAGAGTTTCTCAACAGTTCCTTCCATTCGCTATAGTTGGTCATCAGTAAATTCATGAAAACCACCTGATCTAGTGGTGTTGGCTGTGTCTTTTGGTGGAGCATTCTCTGACCTTAACTCTATCAGCCTTGCCAATAGCAGTACAAGCTTCCAATTTCCAGTATTAGAACATTTTTCATTTGGAAAGCAGAAAGACTTCTGTGTTCTATACCGAGTCCTGACTGATATGCTGATGGATTTTTATACAATTAAACCATGTTTACATTGCTGAGATAAAACCTACTGTGTAATTGTAATAGACTCTTCACCAATTATTTCATTATAATTTTCTCCCTTTTGGACACCTGGATTAATTGTACTTCCGGGTGCTCTGATTAGGTGGGCCCATAGAACTCATTCTAGCCAACACATTGTGAGCAGATGGGAAGTGTCACTTGCAGGCCAAGCATTAAATTGCTGGCACAAGACCTCAGACTGTTTCTCCCTCTGCTATCACCATTAGCAATGGTGGTGACTGGTTTCTCCATCTGAGTTGTGAAATAAGGATACAGAACACAACCTCTAGCACATTCACTATGGATATATATGACATAATCAATAAATAAAACATCTGTTGTTTTGAAAGCCACCACCATTGATGATAGGCTATTGGGCATAATCAAGGCTATTTTGACTGGTACAGTAATTAGTACCAAAATCAGGTTACTGATCTCATGAAAATACTAAAATAGTTGGTATTAGTTTAAGGAACAGGAGGAAGACAAGAAGAAAACTTACAAGAGCCTGGAAGGATGCTGATGAAAATTCTAAGTTGGGGAAATATTTGGTAAAATTCTTACCTTAATAAACTTATATTTTGAGGGAAGACATTCCAGGACAGATTGTAGGAAGTATTTGATGTTTATTGTAGGCTGTATGTTGGAAGTATTATTAGAAACTGAGCTCAGAAAACTATTGGTTGTTTTGCAGCAAGCAACAAAAAAAGTATACTTCACGAATTTAGGAATCTTTTAGATTGGAAAGGCAACTGTTTCTTTATCCCACACAGTAAAAGATAAAATGAAATAGGTCTTTCACATCAAAAGCAAATTCTAATTGGTCTTTAAGCAAATATTAAATACAGAGAGGGATTTTAGAACCATTAGCAAAATGCTTTAATGAGCTTTGCATCCATTAGAACTCCCAGCTAGACAAAACAGCTCAGAAAAAAGCAGAATAAGAATGCAGCTGTTCTCCAACCAAAGTGGCCCTAGTTATTTATGATTTGGTTAGGAGAAACAGAAACCTGAAGGTAATAAAAAAAAAAAAAAGGAATAAGGAACATATCAAATTTAAGAAAAATGTCTGGAAAATAACTGTAGATATGGATGTTTGCATATCGAGCTGACAGGAATCAACTAGAACTGACAGAAATCAAATACAGAGAAACCAACTAAATTTATAAGATCTATACCACTAAAAAAACCAAAGCCCTATGCATAAAAATTTTGTGAGAGTTGAGGAGTTGTGCCCACTATATACAACTGAAAATGACCCTCGGGCCCCTAAATATTGCCTTAATCAGATATCCTCTAAGTAGGATAGTGGATATGGAAAACTTCACAGAAAATGAAGCAACAGGTTCAGGAGATAAACAGAATGGGTGCTTTGTTCAGGGAGAATCAAGATGTAACTAGGCTTTCCCCTTCCCCATGTGATAGGGCTTCTATAACATCCGTCCAAAGTATCTGAGTTTCTGTGAACCAATTTACCATTCTTTTGTTCTCAAATAGCAACATGTATTTTAGTTACTCTATTCTTGGGATTAAAAGTGGTGCAGACATTCTCAGCAGAAATATGGCTGCTACTTCGTCAAATTTAGTATGTGCACAACTATGATCTAAAAATGCTGCCAGCAAGAACATAATCTTAATAAATAAATGCTTAGCAGTGTTAATTGCAGCATTATTGGCCATAATAATGGCAACTTGCTTATGTCACATTGACATGAACCATGGTTAAATGTAATTGCGAAAGAAGGGGATGGCTGTAAAATTTATGGAATTATACCATAGAATGTTATGCAACAGTTAGAAGGAAAAAAATTGATATATACTGAACTAAATGGGTAGATCAGAAACATTTTGATGAGTGAAAAAAAGTAAATGGTACATGAGACCTATAATATGAATGATTTATTTATATACAATATATTAACACAAACCAGATTACATATTAATAATACAACTAATTAAATTTATGGGGAATGAGGGGGAAAAGAAAAGAGACATACTGAAGGAAATACATGAATTAAGAACAATGGTATTGTATGAATCAATGATTATAATGAACGATGAATTTGAATGTATAATGAACTCAATTCTGAGTACCTGCACGTGCCAAATTAAAACTCCATAAAACCTAAAAGTAAACCAGCTGGTTTGCATAAAAGACACATAAGAATAAAAATCAATTAATCTTCAATCAATGAAAAGAGAATGAACTGAAAATTCCTCCAAAGATAGTAGACAAGTCTCTTTATTTACTGGTGAGGAAGATATCATTTAAAACTGTCAGGTCTATTTTCAGGGCTTTCTTCCACTACCTACTGGTTCAGTGACATTGAGAAAATGTTTTAGTTTCATGATTATTGTTAAGTAACCTATACTATATATATAGCCCTTGTATGAAATGAAAACAAACTATGGAGCACCATGATACGTCAATCAACTTGCTATGATCTCTGCTAGCAAATTTCTAATGATCTATTGGAGAACCCAAACCACAGGTACATATGTGCTATGATGGGGTATAATAGTGCTACTGAAGTCCTCACTAAGGAACTAATCCAGTCTTCAACAGGAAATGGAAACTGTCTAAAGAGAAGGGCTCTAAGCTGAAGTACAGAGAATGAGTACAAGTAATACAACTGAGGCTATAGTGTGTGTGTGTGTGTGTGTGTGTGTGTGTGTTGTGAGAGAGAGAGAGAGAAAATGAGGGAGAGACCCATGAGGAGAGTTAATTCAAAAGAGAATACAAAATAGTAATGTTTTGCAAGTACAAATGGGACATCAAGGAGTGCCTGGGTGGCTCAGTAAGTTAAGAGTCAGACTCCTGATTTCAATTCAGTTCATGATCTCAGGGTCAGGAGATCAGAGTCCCAATTTTGTGCTGAGCATGGAGGCTACTTGTGATTCTCTCTCTCTCTCTCTCTCTCTCTCTCTCTCTCTCTCTTTCTGTCCCTCCCACCCACTAGCTCTCTCTCAAAAATTAAAATAAAAAAAAAGAAATATTAAATTTACAAGGTTATTATTAAAATTACTAGTATCAAAACAGAGGTAGCAAAAGTTAGGAATTAGTAGCAAGACCAAAAAGATTTTGTATGTTTTCTGTTCCTGAAAGGCCACATTCCTGTTTCCCTTTTGGATAATAATTGATGGATAACATCTCAATCTTACAGGCCTTCCTCATAATTTGTTTTTGTTTAATCCACAACTCAGTTTCCAATTCTACTGTATTGTCATGATATGTCACCCAACCAAAAAAAAGATGAGTTTTTTGAGTTTTTTAAATTGTAATGAGGAATCCTTTGAAAAGCAAAACATATGACTTGCAAAGAGTTCCACCAACAATGTATGCACGTTGTGTTTGTGTGTTCGCAGATACTTGTATGCGTGCGTGTTGATTTTTCTCCTTTATCCTAAAACAGAATCTAAAACTTGGAAATTATGTAGTTCAACATATTTTTTGCATTCCAATTCTCTGGAGGTTTCTCATTGGGGAAATTCAAATCTAAAGACACATGCATTGTATGAAACATCAAACTGCCATGTAATTTCTTTTTTCTGTCATCACAGATAATACTATAAGACCAGAGGCATCAATGGCAATAGATGTCATACATTTTTTTTATAAATTTTAGAGTAGCATTCATTTTGTGCTTATGCTGCTTTAAATATAAAGCATATAAGAAATTATCTCGTGCAATAGCACATAATGAAATAAGAAAATGCCACATGTAGAATGTTTTATTATAATTGGTACTATAATACAGATTAATATGTGTCACATTAAAATCTAAAATTCCAGAAATAAAGTATATCAAGTATATCTAGTGGAATATTGTTTTAATAAACTATGACTAAAAATGTTCTTCAAAATGACACATTTTAAGAGCAAAACTACTTTAATAAACTTAAATTATTCATCTGCATCACAGAGTATATCTGAATTTTTGAAAACTACCTAACCCTGAACTTTATTTTGCTTCATTTCATCTTTGTTTTTATGCATAGGATATTGAAAGTGAATGCAGAACCATTCTATACCCCTTTTCCTCCACCACTTTTCTACTCTTACTAAGCAAATAAAACCATTCTATATTACAATTTCTAAATGCAGAATGTGGTACAACCACTATAAGGCAGAGGCACTCAACATGAGTTTTAGGCACTAGAAATGTTTTGAGCAGGGTATTACTGAACCATCATGACCAGATATACCTGTTCTATTTTCAGCTCTTGTATGAAATCCCTCAGGCTCCTTCTCAATATCCTGCCTGGCATTTCAGTCACTATGATTAGAACCCCAATGCTTCTGGACTTCTCAAAATGTGTTTCTTATAGCACCTCCATCAAAATCACTTGAGATGCTTATTAAAAATTCAAATTACCGGGACCATCTTAGCTTTACTAAGTCAAAATCTCTGGTGATTGGATAAAAGAACCTACTATTTAATAAGCTCCCTAGATGATTGTTATGCATGCAAAAGTTTGGGGGAAATGCTGTTCTGGAGGTATGCAATCATATTCCATTCTGCTTCATCTCTTCCTTCCTCTCAAGCCACCCTTTGAATGCATGTCCCAGGCAATGATCTACTGGGTATGCAAGTGCT